AGGAGGAGAGGAGGAGGAGGAGGAGGAGGAGGAAAGAGGAGGAGGAGGCAGGAGGAGGAGGAGGAGGAAGAGGAGGAGGAGGAGGAGGATGAGGAAGGCGAGGGGGAGGAAGGCAAGGGGGAGGAAGGCGAGGGGGAGGAGGGCGCGAGAGCGAGGCGCGCACGCCCTCGCGGGGTGGGGCGCGGGCTGCGCCGCGCGCCTCGCCGCGGTGGTGCCCACGCGCCCAGAGGTGCGATCGCTGGCGGGAAGAGAGAGAGAGAGAGAGAGAGAGAAGGAGGAGGGAGGGGGAGAGAGAGCGGGCAGGGGTAAGCTAGGTGCGCAAGCGTCATGTCTGACGTCCTGCCCCTCCCCCCCATCCCTTAACGCTGCGTAGGTCTCCTCTCTCTACTCGCACAGTCGGCTGTCGAACAGGGCCACGGTTCCGAGAGAGTACGCGATGCATGGTACAGCACGGCAGATCATGGCACGGAAGGGCACGGCCTTAGCCGACGTCGTCGCGTCGAGAACGCGACTCATTTCGACAACAAGGTCAGACGGAAACCAGATATGACACAGGACGGGAAACGCAAATGGACGATTTGGAAAGCGGGAAGCGTAACATGAGATCAGCGTTGCAGCGATAATTAGCACGATTTCGAAGGACCGAAGCCGCGGAAAGCATACCAGCGATGCAGTGGGAGCACGACTTGGAAGGATTGGAAGCGCGGAACCGAAGCCAACGTTGCAGCAGGAGCACGACTTGGAAGAACCGAAACAATTAAATGAGGTCAGCGCTGCAGTTTGTATACGATTTGGAAGGGTTGAGAACGGGAATGTGAAGGCAACGCTGTAGCGGCAGCGCCATTCTGAAAGGACCGACAACGTTCGGATTGGAAACACGCATGCGCCTTCATGGCCAATTCGGCTGCACCTTGTGCGTAACAGACAATATGTGGAGGAGGCTCGGACACCTCACTGGCGTCTCCGGGAGAGAGAGGAGAGAAGTATTCATGTCGTGTACAGGAGGAGGGAGAGGGGAGGTGCGCAGGCAGGGAGGGAGGGTAGATGGGAGGGAAGCGGGGGGACGGGGCGGGAGTGTGGGAAGGCGGCGGGCGTGTCAGGCCTGGCGCTCCGCCGCTAGGAGGGGGAGCCCCACAGTGCCCACCATCCCACAGGGGCCTCCGAGATGCCCTACGACCTGATCATGGGCTGCCTGGACACCAGATGGGGAGTAGGAGAAGGGGGAGAACGAGCAGTGCAACGATAAGGAGGCGAAGGAACAGCAGTAGCAGCATGAGCAGAAACAGGAGCAGGACCGAGTTGAGAGGAGGAGGAGGAGGAGGACGAGGAGGAGGAGAAGAAGAAAGATGAGAAGAAAGAGAAGAAGAAGGAGAAGGTTGGAGAAGAAGGCGTTGAACAAGGACGGGAAATGAGGAGGAGACAGGGCAGAAGAAGGACAAGGCGGCGGCGGAGGTGAGGGGAAGAGGAGGGTTGAGTGAGGAGGAAGAGGCGGAGGAGGAGGAGTGAGGTCGGAGGAGGAGGAGGAGGAGGAGGAGGAGGAGGAATCATGGGTGAACAGGAGAACGGATGAGAAAGAACGTAACGAGCGACAGAGGAGCACGTTCCAACTGCCCGAAAGCACCCTGCTAAGCGATTCAGCACGCCTTACTTCTTGGCCTTGTGCTGGCCACGCTTCGACGGAACGAGCTTCTCGATCGGCTGGCACGTGTTTTGGGGGGAGGGGCTCGCGCGAGAGTCCTCTACAAGCCTGCCGGAGGCGGGAACTTCAGTCATCGGGCAGTGGGGTCTCCGCTGTTTGAGGCCGGCGGCCGAATGGGGGTGGCGCCGGTGGCAGTGTCTCGGGGTGGCATCTCGAGGCAGCTCGCATCGGCGGCGCAGATGTGACGCCTGGGGCGTGCCTGTGCTGCCATTCATGTTGCGAGGTCCGACTGCATGTGAATTCATGCAGGCACCTTGGGCTCCAGCCTTCGGGATGTGTCACCCAGGTGCTCTGTCCGGGCACAAGACTGCTTATACCCCTCCGAGGAACAGGCACGCTGCCGACAGAAGACGACCTCGGACCGACCCCGGCCACCGCGTGGCCGAGGGCACGGCAGGCCCCCCCAAAAAAAAGTCGACAGAGGGCGGGCACGCTTCCCCGAGCTGCTCCTCGCCACACATCAAAGGCTCGCGCCAGCAGCAGCAGCAGCAGCAGCAGCAGCAGCAGCAGCAGCAGCAGCAAGCAGCAAGCAGCAGGAGGAGGAGGAGGAGGCTCGGGGTCGCCGGTCCTCCCTGACGCGGCGCCTCGGCCCGCGGTCTGCGTGCGCGGCCCGGTGCCCCGCAGGCGTGGGCCCACCGCCCCGCGAGCGCGGCGCCCCCTCCCCAGAGAGCCAGCGCATTGAAGACATGAAGACGGAGGTTTTCGCCAATTTCGGCCCCTAGGGGCCCTCGCTGTCTGCACGAACGAAATGGGCACGGAAAGAATGGGTACAATGCCCAACAGCGGATCTTGTTCATTTTGAACAGGACTCGCTGTCCACGCCGCCGCGGCTTCTGTCCATTCGAGACAGAAGGCCGCCTGCCCAACAGCGGCCGTTGTTGGTTTGGAACACCATGTGTTGTCGGGCAGTGTACCCATTTTTGTCCGTACCCATTTCGGGCGTCCAAACGCTGGGCCTCGGGAGCATCAAAAAACGACGCAGGATGAAAAACTTGTCCCAGGAAATGGGTCAAGACTTCCAGGGGCCGCGCATTGAAAAAACACGGCATCGGATCACTGGGTCGGTGCGCACATCCCGCCACGCAACCTGGAGACCCGTGGATCTCGCGCGCAGTGGCGCACAGCGGCCGCAGTGCGCACGACATCCTCCCCCTTCCACCAGACGAGCGGCCTCCACCGCACCGCGACCCTCGCGGGCTCGGGCGAGCCAGGTGAAAACCAAGCGTCCCGAGATGATTCGAAGGACCGAGTCGTGAGCCACGTCTTGGGCGTCCCCCTGGGGAGCATTGCTTGAAATGACTTCGTGATGCGAGGGCGCTTGAGGCCAGGCTGGGGCCTGGTCGATATATGTTACACTCGATACACTTTCATTCGCCCAACTATAGCACAGCACTAGTACCTAAAACCATTTGCATCTGCAAGGGAAGGTCTTGTTGGGGGGACGGGCTTCCAGGGCTCAGGCCGGCCACCTTTAAGAAGGAACCCCAGTGCCAGCACCCTTCAGCCCGCTCATCCCCGGTATTTGGCAGACTGCTGCGCCTGCACAGCCCGCCCACCCCAGGTCTTTGATGGATTTGACTCCTTCGAGGCACGCTTGCACAGATAAGCCTGGACATTCGACGCGACCCCATCTCTAGCTGCAATCTTGGCAGAGACATCGGGTCAGGCGTTTCCAACCACGTGCCAGGAACGGCTCCCCTTGACCCGGGCGCGCCAGGGCCGCCTCCGTAAAACTCCCACGGGCGGGACACCAGGAAAATTCTGGAAGAGACCAGCTTTGCTCCCTGACCTCGGCACGGATCATGCGCCATACGGCACGGCAGCGTGCTTGCCAGTTGGTCCGGCGTCCTCCGCCGACCATCTCTGCTCCCCTTATACCAAGGACGGCAGGTCAGACACCACAGTGCACAGTTGAGACAAAATTTCGAGAGCTCGCGCGACGGCCAGCCGTTCAGCAATCCTGACGGTTTGGTGGACCCCGGAGCACCCCCCCAGACACCGCTCTCAACGGAACCCCATCCTCGGAGATCTGAACGGCGGCCCGTCTGGCGTGGCGCAGCTCGGGAGTGCTCGGGTGCATCGCCGAGCCGTCGGTTAAGACAAGTCGACCACGGCTGCTGCCTGGGCTGCTCCAGTCGTCCCAAAAATGGATGCGAGAGTCAGCCGCAGTGTGCCATGCTGGCTCCAGCCCCATCGGCAGACCAAAAGGCAGTTCGAAGGAATTCGGGTCCGTGACCCCTCTGCTGACAGGTCCTTTTTCCACACGCAGGTCACGCGCCGTTTGTAACGCAAAGGGCAACGGCACCGCGATCTCCTCAGCAATCGTAAGATTCTGCAGCACAGGGCAGGCTAAAAACATCTGGCCAAGCATCTTGCGTGGTGCTCCACACCCTCGGCAGCAGGCCGTGGTCGACGTGCCATGCTCGTGCAGCTTACCGCTTGGCCAGACGGAGTCCGACCAGATCGCGCGCACAATGCCAGCCTGCGTGGGACTCTGTACAGCGGCATGCGGACGGCCGACACAGACGCGGAGAGCTCGCGGTCACAGCTGCACTTCATGAGGGACCTCCTGGGAGTGCCTAGCGATGCGGGCCATCTGCCACCGGTGGGTACCCTGCCGGAGCAACAGGCACACATTACCCATCGGTCGTTGAAAGTAGGTATGTTTGGACTTCCAGCTCCAAATCTAATGTAGCCGCCTTCTTGTTTCAAGGGTCGAATGGTTTTCCCTCTTCCCTCCTCTTCAGGAGGCGGGCGGAAGCACAATCTACTTCCAACGCCTTCCCACTCCATGGTTCTACCTACTTTTTTGTGACCGATCGGTATTCGGGTCGGTGGCAAGGAGAGAGGCCAACATCCCAAGAGCTGTGCGCAGCAGCGTCGACGAATCTATCGTCCTGCCAACCCGTAGCTCAGCGCGAGCCACACGACGACCAACAGGGGCCCGCGGCGTGCTGCCAGGCAAAACTCTCTCTCCGCGCCTGTCGCGAAGCACCTGCCACGCACGCTCGAGCTGCCTCCCCCTCCTCATCATCCTCATCCTCATCCTCCTCCTCGCGCACAGGTCCGGGGGAGGCGTCGAATATCCGGGCGTACGACGGATCTCTTCGCGTCGCAAGGTATGCGGTGAGAGAGTTGCCTCGAGCCTCTGCGTTCACAAGACTGTTTGCCGTAGCTCTCGGCTTTCGCAACTCCGCATCCGTTTTCCCAGGCGCCGCCCCAATACGACTGGCGCCAGGCCTGTGCGCCAGAGACACGATGCACGAGAGCCCACCGCTCGACTCGGCAACTGCGCCTTGGCCAGCTTACCTCTCAACTTGACGAACGCTTGCTAGTGACGGACCGCCTGCGATCCGCTCCGCTCAGCTCGTGGCCGAGGTTCCGCATGCTGGTGGCGCGCTTGAGGCCAGCTCTGACCTGCTTGCTTGCTGCCTGAGCGACCTCCCTCGTGGCCGCGACGAAGCCCGACTTGCCCGAATCTGAGTTCTGTAGGATGAGTCCGAAGGGACGGACGTCAGCTTGAGCGTTTACTAAACAGCCCTGCCCTGTTCGATTCCATCTTTGGGTGCGTTTACCAAACGGCTTCGCTTGGCGGGGTGCTCATTATGGGGGTGAGTTTTCTGCGATCTATGATCACGCCCCCCGCCCGCTCAACCACCCACTGCCCCGTCAGATCGTCAACGAGCGCACGCCGCGCGCAGAGCTAAATAAGCGTGAGGCCAACGGTGGAATGAGAGCACCCCGCCGGCAACTTTTGCCACGAGACAAAGGTTCTCCTCCTCCTCCTCCTCCTCCTCCTCCTCCTCCTCCTCCTCCTCCTCCTCGTCCGACCATGAAGCGAAAGCACGCAGCACGCGAGGCTGGCGATGATATCCTGTAACCATCCAACAGAGGCGCAGCGGGAAGCCGTGCTCTCGCGCCTGGCCGAGCAGCGCGCTGGGGTTGGCCGACTCGTAAGCTTTCCAGGCGTCCAGCGCGGCGGTGGCGCTGTGCAGGCCCAGCAGCTTCGCCACCTCGGCCATCAGGTTGTGTTCGAAGGCGGCACTTGTAGACGTACGCGCGCCACCGCCGGCTCCCGAAATATAGGCACGGTCCATGTGAGCCAAGCGCGGGAGATGACACTGCGGCCCTTCGCCCATACACGCAGGAGCGTGCGGACCAGCGCAATTACCAGAAATCCTCCGTCAGCTTTCGGCAGTCTGACCTACTCCGTGTAGAAGCGATTCTCGGGCCACACACCAAGTTTCTCGCAGCGCTGGAACAGCTCACTCATGATGTGGATGCCGACGTCTGACAGGTGCCACAGCGCTCGCGGGGACACGCGCCTGGGGCCCAGCCCCGTGCGCTCCTTGAGCGCCATCAGAACCGCCCGCAGGTGCGCCACCGTCAGGAACGGCAACTCACCCCACGAGTCGAGGTCGGGGGGCCGCGCCGCCTGAGTCAGGCCATGCTGGGTCCTGACCTGACTCCACTTGCCCATCTCGCGGTCCACGAGCTCATGAGGACCACCGCGCACTGTCAGGTCTGCCACTGTGGCTCTCGCCCCGTTCTTGACGCTGTCGCGCGCCCAACCCTGCCACTTCGCCGTGCGCTCTTGCTGGAACTGCCTGCACTTGGCGTCAGCAGAGTCGATGATGCCCTCGGCCAGCGTCGTGAAGGACGGCTGCCCGCAAGTGTACATGCCCGAACAGAAACTCGCACGCGTCCGAAGGGAGGTGCACCAATGCTGAATTGAACCTGGCCATCTGCTGAACAAATCTGCTGGAAGGAGGAAGCAGGGAGGAGGGAGAAAGGATGAGGGAGGCTGCGGGAGAGGGAGGAGGAGGGGACGTGGGGTATGATAGCAGGGCATGTGAAAGGGAAGGAGGGGAAGGAGGCTCTATGAGAAGATGGGGATGAGGAAGACGGATGGGAAGGACGAGGTAGCTAGAGGAATATCTGAACAAGAAGAAGAGGGAACACGCGGCGCCCAGCGACGAGCCAGGCGCAGAGTTACCATGCAGCAGAGTCTAACGCTGCTCGGTGAGTATCTGGTCGCCAAGCCTGCAAAGAAACGCCTTGGTGGCACCAGGGGTGGCACGCGGAATTCTGGTTGCAGCGCGCGTGTGCTAATGCAAGGGCACGCGCATGCAAGGACCGCCGTCTCCCCATTCTCATCCCCCTCATCTTCTCTTCTCCTCCTCCGTTCCCGTCTCGACGCCGCGGCCGACGACGGCGACGTTGACGACAGCGACGACTTCGACGACGACGGCGACGGAGACCGCGACGACGACGACGACAACGACGGCGACGGCGACGGCGGCGGCGGCGACGACGGCGACGATGGCGACGATGGCGACAACCGACGACAACGACGACGACGACGACGACGACCCTCCGAGGACCCGGACTGCGCCGCCGAGTTCCGGGAGGGCCGCGAGGGTTGCCGCTGCGGTTGCTGCGGGCTCCTGTTCTGCCAGACGCCCCCCCAGCGGTGCTCAGAGCACCTCGGACCTCGCGAGCGAGCGAGCCCCGCGCCCATGGCGGGGAGAGCCGTGCCCCTTTGGGCGGGACGAGAAAGACCGTAGCGCGTGGAGAAACATATGGAATATGTTTCGCTCCGCGTTCACGTACTGGGTCTCCAGAACCCTCCCTTCTGCTGTATTTCCTCTGATCTCTCTCTCTCTCTCGCTCTCTCGACCTCTCGCTCTCTCGCTCCCTCTCTCTCGCTCTCGATGTAAACATGTATGTACATACCTACATGCATGCATACATGCATGCATGCATACAAACATATGTGCGCACATTTCCCGCTTGGTACTTGCACTCAGGGATTTTTACCATTTGGTCTGACAAGAACTGGGTCTGGGTGTCGGTCCGGCCGGCTTGTTGTCGCCGTCGCCGCCCGTCGCCGCCGTCCGTTGCCCGTGCTTCTGCATTTGCGTGTCGGTCACCGCGCTTGTTGTCGCCGTGGCAGGCCGTCGCAGCCGTCCGTCGCAATGCTTTTCATCGTTCTGCATTACTTTGCATTTGTTTGCATTGATTTGCATTGCTCTCCGCATTGCTCTCTGCGTGGCTCTGCATTGCGTTGCTTTGCATTGCTTTGCATTGTTCTTCATTGTGTTGCCGCGTTTCGCATTGCTTTGCATTAGTTTGCATTGCCTTGCGTTGCGTTGCATGGCTTTACATTGCTTTGCACCGCGTTGCTTTGTATTGGTTTACATTGATTTGCATTGGATTGCTTTGCATTGCTTTTCAATTATTTGCGCATTGCCTGTTAGTGCGGAGTGTGCTTGCAAACGGGCACGGGATTGAGGGGCCCAACGACGTGTTCACCGTGCTCCCCTGTATTCCATTATATATTCGCTCAAGCTTTCACAGGTTCGCTCGCATGGGCCCCCCGTGCGGGCCCCAGACTGCCGCGGCGGCGGTCGCGGTCTATGTGGCGGTGGCGCTAGGGATCTGGAGCTCGACGCCCACGCCCATCTGCCCGCAGCCGGTGCGCCCGGCCCCCTTCTGCCCAGCGCTGATTCGTCCCGACTGCGTGTTGACGGCAGCGGCTCCGGACTCGGGGCCGCCCGGGGGCTCTGCGGCTCTCGGACTGGGCGAGGTGCCCAAGGAGCTGGCGGAGACCCACCCGACGGTGGTCCGCCTGGAGGAGCGACTGGCGGGGCTGCAGACAGCGCTCGAGGATGAGGAGTTTATGCGTGAGCTTGGACCGGTCATGCGGTTCGCTGTTTGGTATGAGGACGACACTTACTGGCACGAGCGGATAGCGATGGCGGCTCACCTCGTTCCCGGCGTGGAGCTTCTGGATCCGATGAAGGGGCACTTCTATGAGTTCGGTGCCGCGCCCGACGCGTCCGAGCTGGTGGAGCAGATCAAACTGGCAGAGGGCGAGGCGCTCGGGATCACCAGGCGTCGGGGGCCGGCGCACGAGGCCATCACGCTGCAGCACATGCCGCTGGTGGTGGATGACGGCCGCGCGGTGCCGGGCGTTGCGCCAGGCACGGCGGCCCCGGCGCTGGCCACGCCGGCTGCCCCGCCATCTGACGTCACGTCGCTGATCATCGGCCCGGTGCATCCCCGCTTCGGACGAGAACGGCACCCGTCCTCTGATGCGGAGACGGCGGGGGAGTACGCGAGGGCTCTAGAAGTCAGTCGTCGGCCGATGCCAGCGAAGCGAGTGCCGATCTCCATCGTCGTGACCTTCCTTGACACGGGGCACATGCGGGTGCCCAGGATCTTGGATGACGAGGCCGCCGCCATGAAGGCGGGTGGAGGGCTGGAGGGCCGCCTGAGCGATGCCCTAGACGGTGGCACGAAGACGTCCCCAGCTGGTGTGGATGCGAGGACCCTGGCGGTGAGCCACGACGAGCACGGGGAGCGGCACCAGGACTGGCGGTTAGTCTGCGCGGAGATCTCGTACGGCCATTTCGGTGAGCGGGAGAAGTACCATGAGGGGCCTCCTGTGACGTTGTCGTCGCTCAAGAACATCCAGCGCCAGGGAGGCGACCCCCGCCGTTTCCTTCCCATCTGGCGTCGAGATTCGGACGTGAGCCCGCAGGAGCGCGCGGGCATCGAGATGAAGCTGCTGCCGAGGAGCCTCTACCTGAGCGGCGGCCACGGCCAGGTCAACGGCCCTTCCCTTGCGAGAGTCGAGGCCATGCCGAGGAGGGTGTGCCAGATCATCGAGGCCCATTCGGCAGGGACCCCTGGCCGCGCCGATTGGGAGGACGTGAAGTGGGCTGGCGCGGAGGCGGGGAAGGCTCAGGCCCTGGGGCGACGGTCGCGGCCGGCGCCGGCCGTGGTCGAGCCGACGCTGGAGGCCTAGATCCGGCGGCTGACGACGAGCGAGTGAGGCGCGTCGCCATGTTGCCGCTCTGCCCCATTCCCCTTGCCCCCGCGCCCACCATGCCCAGCGGACGTGGCCGACAGGCCTCGGGCCTGAAAGGCCATTTGCGACGCCCGAATGCAGACGTCAAAGCAACTGTGAAGGCTTGGAATTGGATGGCTGGGGATCGGCATCCGCCCGAGTACGGGCCGCCGCGCACCCCAGAACAGGCTAGTGTGCATGCGCGCGTGCGGGGGAAGATTTTGCCCCTTTGACCTCGGACGTCGCGATCCCTAGCCGGCGAGCGGCTTTTTTGGAGCTGCTGCACGGCCGAGCTGTGTATGATGCAGAGCCCGGTGGACACAACCTTGCCAGTTTCTCCAATGTTGCCTCTGTGAGCCTACCTGACAGCCTCGTAGGCGCCCCCTCGGTGCAGGAGGTTGTGGGCCCGGAGGCAAGCCAATACTAGGAGCAGAACTACGAGTGCATGCTGCGCCCCTCTTCGGACTTTTTGGAGCGACAGGAGTCGCTGCCCGCTATAACTCCCTATTGGGACCCTGTGCTGGCTCGCAGCCGCCGCAAGTTTCTGCGGCTGATGCGGGCGCCCCTGCGGGTCGGGCTGGTCACGCTTCTGCCAGCGGGCTCGTCTCAGGAGCAAGTCGGTATGTTCTTTGTAAAGAAGACCGGCAAAAGCAAGAGTCGTCTCACCATCGACGCGCGTAGGGCAAACAGGCGATTCGCCGAGCCCCCAGGGGTCCATCTTTGTTCTTCGGAGAGCCTCGCTAGGATCGAGGTCTCTCTCCCTCCAGGTTGCTCCAGTCTCACTCCTGATCAATTTCGTAGCGCCCAGATGTCCCTGGGGCTGGCGGATGTAAAGGACGCGTTTCATCGTTTTCGTCTTCCTCCGGGACTAGCCAGTTATTTTGGTCTCGGTGTTGCCGCGGCTGGGGAGTTGAAGGCAGTGGGCGATATCGTCGGCGGGAAGATCTCGGGGATCGATGACTGCATCGACATCTGTTGGGCGTCTCTTCCAATGGGGTTCTCTTGGTCTCTTTACTTATGTCAGCAGGCCGGGGAGCATCGTCTGGGTGGAGTCCCTGGCCTTCGCGGTTCGGTCCTTCTTCGAGATCGCGGTAAGCCAGGGGTCTTCAGCTTCGTCGAGTCGGACACGGGCCACGAGAAGGGGGCGGTCCTCGAGGGATCAGGGGTCTGTCATTACCTCTACGTCGACAACCTGGGCGTTCTCTCATGCGACCCCTCCCACACATCGGCTCTTCTGTCCGACGCGGCGGCCCGCTTTGAGGAGGCGGGTTTGGTGACCCATGAGCATGAGGTGAGCGTCAATGCCGCGAAGGCTCTTGGGACTCATGTGGATCTTGAGATGGAGTCTTTTTTCGCACCTGCTAGGCTGTGGAAAGTACGTCAAGGGGTCCTTTACGCCCTGTCGTGTCGGAAGCTGCCCGGTCGGGTCTGGGAAGTGCTGTTGGGTCACCTCGCATTCTGTGCGCTGATCAATCGTAGCATGATGAGCGTTTTCAGGAGTATCTACGCGTTCATAAATAAGTACTACGCCACGCCCATGCGTTTGTGGGACACAGCTAGACAGGAGGTGTCGGCTGCAGCCTCTCTGCTGTTCTTGATGGATGCTTCGTGGACTTTACCCTGGCCCCCAAACGTCGTGGCGACTGACGCCTCAGAGGAGGGGTTCGGGGCCACGGTCTCGGAGTGGGACACCCAGGACGTCTCGGAGGTGGGGAGGATCTTGGAGAGAGGTCGTTTTCGGAGGCTTCCTGGAGTTTCTGCTCGGGCCAGGTTTTTCGGAAGCTTGGAGGAGCTGGGGTCCGACGAGGAGGAGGGCGAGTCTGAGCGGCCGTGCGACGTCGACTCGGATTTTCCGGAGGTCCCCCATGCATTACTCACGAGGGCCCGCTGGAGCACCCTTCTGGCAGGTCCGTGGAAATATTTTGACGAGGGCATCTTTACCTTGGAAGCCGGAGCCCTTCTGTTGGGATTCCAGGCGCTGGTGAGCGAGTACAATGTCAGAAACGCGAGGGTGCTCTTCTTGGTTGACAATATGGGGGTTTGCTTGTCTTTCGCCCGAGGGCGCACCACGGACTTCAGGACCCTGATGTGTATGAGACGCATGGGATCGTGGTGCCTGGCTCTCGGGCTGCGTACATGTTTCGATGGATACCATCTGAGTGGAATACGGCTGATGACCCCCCCCGTCGCTTCTCAGTAGAGCATGTTGGCTCACGTTATGTTCCCGACGGTGCTGGCGCTTCTGGCATCAATCCGTGCCCACTCAGATGCGAGGATGAGAGGACCGACCCTTCGGCAGGCCCGGGCGGTTCCTCGGGCGAAGGCGCGGGCAGACCTGCTGCCAGCAGGGCCGGCACCTGCGCCCTCGACACCAGTGGCTTCGAGGAGTTTAGTGGCGACAGTGTCAACTCCTCCACCCCGCAGGCCGACCCGTTCCCGTCGCTCACAGCCCGGGGATATGCTGATGGGAAAGCTCGAGCCGGCCCCGAAGGAGCACAACGCGCCGGCCCTCGACGAGACGAACGACGAGGAGGCCTCGAACGTGGTCGAGGAGAGCGACGCGACCTCCGACACGGCCCAGGTCCGAGCGCTGCCGACC